TCTGAGTTAGGGGTACATTCCCCTCCTTGAGCACCTGTGCTACCAGAACCAGCCAGGAAGTTCCTAGAAATCCTAGCCTAGATCTGCCAGGCATTATCTCCTCAGAAGACTGTTTTTTAGTTCCAAGAGCCCTTTCTCCAAGCTTCTGGGTTTGTTATTCCAAGCCTTGGGTGGTGCATATTCTTCCTGTGATTTTTCTTTGTTTTTCCAATCCTCTAACATTTGGTGGCATAGTGCCTAAGGCACTTGACTGTTAACCAGAAGGCTGGCAGTTCAAACCCACCAGCCACTCCTCGGAAGATGGGGCAATCTACTTCCCTAGTGATATTGCCTCGAAAACCCAAGGAAGGGTCGCTATGAGTAGGGTCCAACTCGACGGCACCTAACAACAACATTTTTTAAACCAATTTCCAATTTTATATTCTCTAATGTAATATAGTATGATTGATATTTCCCAGACCAGGCACAGATTGATACAATTAGCAAAATATATTAACGTATGTTGTCTAAAATATACTCAGCATGAAAGAACCAAGCATCTCTATGCTGACAAAAGTTGAAAATATCTAACAGAAAATCAAGTTTGTTTTGAGCTTATAAATCTGAGAATGTGAAAGTATATTGGTCATTAGCACACGTAATATTAATTATTATAAGTTTGCTAGACAACTTTTTTTACTATATTTTCATGTAAACTATTATATATTTATAGGCAGTCATTTAAGATACAGCACTTTTCCATCTGTGATAAAAACATTTCTTAAAATTATTACCTAAATAGACTTCTTAGACACTGGATGGCATGTGATGGAAAATGATAAATTATATTTTCCTAAATTTCAGCTATTATTATAGCAGATATATTTTAAGTGATTTACACAATTTTAATGTGAAAACATAAAGTATGGAGCAAAGACAATTTTTAAACAAATCGTCTTTTGTTCTATAGAAACATTGACACTGGTTTTCCATTTGAGATATTTACAGTTTATAATTTTCAAAGTGAATCAACAACTTACCACCTGAGAGGAGAGCTGGCTTATTTTTGGCCATTGGACTAGAATGAGGAAACTTGTTGCTAAATGACATGAAAAGGTGTGCTGTGAAATCATCAGGAAGCTCAGCTTCCAGAAATGTCTTCATGAATAGCTTGAAACCTTCGAAATCTATTGTCTGGAAAAAAAAATAATAAAGCAAATATTTTAAGATGCTGCCAAGGGAAGAGATTTGGTGTTTTGTTCAAAGTCATTAGTAATGGAAATAACTTCAAAAGAATTTTATATCCAACTCTGCAGAAGAAGGTTAACAATTTAAGAAGCAGTTGGTGGTATATGTCTCACCTGGGATACAGCAAGAAGAGCAGAAACTGTTTATTTACTCACTTTACTTTGATAGTATCTATAAGATTTTACAAATTTTACTCTTGAAAATTCAGTTTCCTTCTCTGGAAACGTGAGATAATATTACCAATCCCATAGAGTTGTGATGAGTAAATCAGATAATTAATATGAGCATACCCATACTGAGTCAGGAATACAGCAATCATTTAGAAAGAAAGGAATTCCTCATCTACTTTGCTTGTCAATAATGTTGACTATTGCTTTTGAGAACTGTAAAAAGTGGCTGAATTAAAGTTTCAACTGAACATCAAGATAAACTGATATAAAATTCCACAATGAGAGTCCAAATCATCATAAGGATTGGCAAATAAATCTATTTCAAGATCTGTGACACTCTCATTCATGGCAGAGCTATGTAAGAGTAGAAATTCATTTGGAAAGAACTGCTGCTATGCTAAGTGTGGCCATGTCTACTTGGAGTAATTATGATTTGCATCATCTCCTAAGTTCATGCTAAATAAGAAGGCTTCACTGGAGCCACTTGGACAGGTTGTTCCTTTCAGGCAGTTGAGGACAGTGGCCCATAACCTGAGTCTCACCCGGAAAATTAAAGGATGAGAGTGTGAGTGCTTTGGAGGTAAAGACAAGAAAATGGTGCTATATTGGTCTTGGTCAACACTCAAGACTGAAGGGATGCATGAGTGTTTGCTGGGAAACAGATGTGTACCTGGTTGCAGCAGGACAAGGCAGGTGGGGTTTTCTTGGGTCCTATCCAGTATATTATCTGAAGGGACTAGACAACCACAGCAGAAGGAGCTAGAATAAAGCCACATCCATCCAGTGCAAGGGAGGAGAGACCTGAAAGGGAGTCCTTGAAGAAACTACTATGGCACTCCATGTGCTGATGCTAGAGAGCATGATGGTGAATCTTTAGGTCAAATTTGATCTATTTACTACTCTCTTTTATGTAGCCTAAGGAGCTTGGTGTTATAGTGATTAAAACTTCTGACTGCTAACCATAAGGTCAGTGATTCAAACCCACCAGCTGTACCATAGGAGAAAGATGAGGCAGTCTGCTTCTGTAAAGATTTACAGTCTCAGAAAACCCTATGAGGTAGTTCTACTCTGTCCTATAGGGTTGCTATGAGTCAGAATGGACTCTATGGCAGTGGGTTTGATGTGGTTTTATACAGCCTGTTTTAGCCATTGTGAGGTTCAGAACAGCAGCCAGCAAGGGACAGATTGTGGATGGAGGGTCTGTAAGTCTGAATTGAGCCCACGCTGACTCAAGATTTTTGTTAATGTCCTAAATTGAATATTCTAATTACAAAACTGACACCCTATTTACTTCTTAAAGTCACTTCAAGGACTCAATTACTGAAAATTGAGCAGAAAACCCATGAGCTTGATGGAACTTTCAGGCAAAAATGAGGAAAGATTATAACTACTGAACAGAATATAAATGGTTAGAGAAGATGAAAATAGTTGTGCATCATTTGTGCTATGCACCTGCTTGTCCATGTACTCAGATCGTGAAGGACTACTGCTCCATTTGGTATGGCTGCCTCAAATCATCCAGGTTACGATGAGAATGAACCATCCAAGAAACATGTTCAAAGTAGTCATCTACCCAATTCCCTAACTGTCATAAAGCCATCGTCCCAGAACATTCCCAGATGATAAAATTAAAAAAAAAAAAAATTGCACATCACTTACTTAAGGTCACCAAATAATAGTTTTCTTCAGATGTTATAAACATTTTAGGAAACACTGAAAAAGAAGTTTTACCTTGCAAGCATGCATTTCCACCTATTGGCAAATATACATACAATTTGCAATTATCTTTGATTAGTCTCAATGGTATATAATTCAGTAACTGGTGCTGCTGCAGTAATCCTGCAAGTCAAACTATTTCAGAGCCTTATAATTTATACAGATATATATAGTGTATGTGGATCCAGAATTTGCTTCTTCAAATGTTCCACTCTTTAAGACATGATGATAAGTTTCTTATCTTCATTATATAAGTCTGTTGTTGCTGTTGTTATGTGCTGTCAAGTAAGACCCAAATCATAAAGAGCCCTCCTTGGGTTTCCAAGGCGGTATCACTACTGTAGAAGTTTGCCCAACCTTCCTTCTGACAAGTGGCTGGTGGGTTACATAAGTCTAGCTACTATCTATCTGTAAGTCTAGCCACTACCAATCTGTAAAAGTCCATCGAATCCACTTATTTCATAAGTTTTCTGAGTTGGTTTTCTTTCAAGGAATTTTAAATGGAGTTACCTATTTCTAAAAGGAGAAAAGATCCCATCACAAATCCATCTACCTTTTGATCATTAAGTATTTAAATATATTTGAATTAATTTTGAGATAGACAACTGTTACTTAATAACCCTGACTTTAATTGTTTCCATATAATAATACTGCAAAATATCACTTCATGAAATATTATTTCCTATAAGTGAAAAAAAAAAAAAATCAAGAAAATCATACATCTCCAATTGTTTAGCCAAGGGCAATTATGCAATTCAAACATATATACTCATACCTTGAAAGGAAGGTTGGGCAATCTACTTCCGTAGTGATACCTTCTCAGAAACCCAAGGCAGCATCGCTGTGGGTCAGATCCGACTAGACGGCAGTGACTTTGGTTCTTTGGTATGTAACACATAGCCTATATTTATTTTTCATGTATTATATCTATGTATGTATATGTACATGCATACAATAAATAAAGTCCTACTGGTTCATATGTATACGTACCCTTTATACAGAACTCTCGGTAATTGTCAGTATGGATGCAAGCATGTTTTGGAGTCACTGTTCTATTGTTGAGCTTTGGCTCTGGTATCTTACTTACTAGGTAGGTGATTTTAGATGAGTTCCTTAACCTCGCTATGAATCAGTTAATCTCTAATTTAGCATCAAGATAATAATAATATCTGTCTCATCCCACTATTGTGAGGAAAACATTAGGTCATGTATCTAAACTTCTTTGTACCATGCTTGCTTTCAACAGATTCTAACCCATACAATAAATATTTCAAAAATAATATTACTCATCTCAAATATTTTTGCTAGAAATGAAACACTGTATAAATAAATTCAGTGAAAAAATACTCAGACATATTGACAGTAATTATGCTAGTGCTTATATGGAAAGATGTTTTTATGTGTATATGTTATATAAATACATATATATATGTGCTTAAAGTGGTATACTATTTATATATCTATACATTCTCCTTAGCTTTACATTAGTTAATGTAACTAGGATAAAACAAAAAATAGGGAAAAAATAAATTTGGCAAACTAATGTCCTTAATTTTGTTCAATTCCTGAGAAGTGACATAAAATTATTTCCATAAAATATTATTTTAAAAGAGAAAAAGTCTATTTTTCCCTTTGTAATAATATCGGCTGTAAGTAGTGGTGAATGACCAATTTTATTATTGTATTATTTGTAGATAAACTTAAAGTAAAATATGACATACAGAGACATCATTAAAGAAAAGTAATTTTATGTATCTTAAATCATGAATCAGTTAAGTACATGTACTGTGTATGCTTTTGTATCTAAGATAACCTCAAGCCAATAAAAAACAAAACCAAAATCTATAACTTTGTTTATTAATGGCTCCAAGACTCTGACTAAAACTTAATCTGACATTTGGCATACTTAGTTTAAGTTATTTTTATTTTGTTTTAATCATTCATTCGCAAAAGGACACTTTAAAAATTTATGTTACTGCAGTAAAAAGACTTAATTTTCTTCCATATTTAATAAATCACTACAAAAGAATATTGAAATTCTGCTAGTGGAGTAAACTATGTTAACTGAAAACTATAAATAATATTTTGCCTCAGGTAGCATAATTCCTTCCAAAAAGCAATTTTCCAAAATGATTGAAGCCAAGTTTGAAAATATGCAGACGAAGCCAAAAATCAAGCGACTGACTCTAAATAAAGTTTCTTAAGTGAGAGTATCTACTCTTGTTATAAGGGTTACTTAGAGATGACTTATTGAAAGAGAAGTAATCCTCAGTCAGTTGGATGAGATATCAATTCTGATAGATAATCCTCAAGAAGGAAGAAGACTTATAGGGAAAAAAGGAGTTGATTTCACTGCAAATTTACTGGAAGTTTGTGTAATGAAAATATTCAGATACTGTAGTTAGAAGAAAGGATATTTATGGTAGAAATTTTTCCTGTGCCCTAAACCATTTGTAGTCACCTATTTGCTTGGCAACATACCAGATGATATGGGAAATAGTCTTTGAAGTTGAATACCTGGATCAAGTCTTGTGTCCAACACTTTCTAGCCATCTGACTGTGGATAATTTATGTGCCTCATTTTCCTTATCTATAAAATGAAAATATAGTAACTACCTTTTGGGTTATGAGGATTAAATTATTCAATATTTTTCAAGTGCTAGAATGGTATTCTGGCACATAGTAAGCACCATGTAAGTAAAAAAAATACAAATTATATTTGTTTAAATGTTCACAATTACCCACAAAACTTAAGAATAAGCCTCAGTCATATTCCTTAAATGTTATCAGATGCATTTAAGAAAACATCAATTTTTTGTTATTTTTATAAAGCCGATAATAAAATATGAACTTCTAAAAGAAAAAAAAAAAATGTTTCAATTGCTCTGAGTTTTTCTCTGGTTCTTTTTTACACTATGAATATATTGTGAGCAGAGCTATATCTAACCAAGAGTTTAATTTAACTTAGTGACATAGTAAAGCAACAACAATAAACAAGCAAAAACAAGGATTATAGAATAAAAAAAAAAAAAATTGTTTAAAATTCCAGTAGTGATTTGG